CTGTCTCTGACACTCCCATCCCAATTATCCCAGTCACTGAATCAATCCACCTCATAGAGGGCCTTCCCCTCCTGCGCTGTCCCTCCACCCTACCAAGCATTATATCCCTCTCCAAGGACCGGTCCCTCCTTACAACATGTCCAAAGTATGTTAGACGGAGCCTCAGAATCCTTGCTTCCAAGGAGCCGCCCAGTTTGACCCTTTCTAGGATGAATGTTTGTTTTCTTAGCAGCCCATGGTACCCTCAATACTCTTCTCTGGCACCACAGCTCAAAGCCATCAATTCTCCTTTTATTTTCCTTAGTCATAATCCAGCTCTCTGATGCATAACTAGTGATTGCAAAGACCATGGCCTGTATCAGACACACCTTAGACTCCAGAGAGACACCGTTGCTCTTCAGTACTTTGGAGAGGTCTCTAACAGCAGACTGTCTCATGGCAATACAGGAATCAAAATTTTTGTCTTGGACATGTTATATTTGAAAAACCTATTTATTTTTCCATTTCTTTAAGGAGCTAAATAATAAACAAATAAAAACATTTCTTGTTTCTTTAGGGACCTCTGGTGGCCAAGTATTATTGCAAAAGCACGTGATTTGAATCCCCCAGCTGCTTCATGGGAGAAGGATGGGCAATCTCCTCTGTAAATAAACTGTCTCTGAAAACCCATTGGAGGGTCAGTTATTGGTCAGTTCTGAATTGACAGTATACAACAACAACAACAGTTTATTAAACTAATAGCTCTGGTGGCTTAGGTAGAGTTGCCGTGCCAACGGTTCAAATCCATCAGCTGCTTTGTGGGAGAAAGGTGAGCAATAGACTTGTGTGCAAGTTACTGCCTCTGAAATCTCAGTAGAAGGTCAGCTACACAGGATAGGACAGGGTTCAGCACTGTTGCTCATATGGTTGCTATGAGTCAGACTTGACTCAATGGCACCTAGTAACAGCAATAACAGTTTTGTTTGTTTTTGTTTTTTTTTCTTTTTTACCTTTCTTTTTTTTAAATTTTCTACTAGTTTATTTACAAAATTCAAATACATTGTTTTTAAAAACAAATTATTTCAATTTCCCTCATCCCCCCACCCATCAAATTGTGCAACGCCATGATTAATCCTTCCTCCTCCTGCACATCCTCATCCCTTTGCTTCCACCCTCTCCCACTCCTCTTGGATTCTTATGCTCATTCTATAATAATGATTTTATACAATACTTATCCTTGTGGGATCGAGTTAGTTCACTCAGCATAATGCTCTTAAGTCCCTCCCAAAATAGGTAATGATTTACAAAATCATTGCTCCTGTGTGCTGCATAGTATTCCACTGTGTGGATGTACCATAATTTCTCAATCCATTCGTTTATGATTGGACATTTGGACTGTCACGATGATGAATAATGCTGCTGTGAACATTGGTGTACAAGTCTCTGTTTGTGCCTCAGTTCTCGTTTTCTCAGGGTATATTCCAAGTAGTGGAATAGCTGGATCACATGGAATTTTTATATTCAGCTTTTTAAGGAAGCGTCAAATTGCCTTCCAGAATGGTTGGACCATTTTACATCCCACCAACAATGTATAAGAGTTCCTCTCTTCCCACATCCTCTCCAACAATTTGGTTTTAAGAAGACTTTAGTGAATATTTTGGATCTAAAGTTTAAAAATTACAACTAGGCAAGATTTTCAGGGGTTCATGTAGTCTATGAGGCTACAGAAAACTGGAGTCCCTGATAACATGAATTCTGGTCTATGTTTCTATGCCTCTTCACTTCTGATCACCATTTCTATTTAGAATCTTTGATCAGTTTTTTTCCAGTATGGTAGACAGACACCACCCAGTGATTCTGGCCTCATTGCAAAGGAAGCAGTTGGCCATAGACGCATTAGCCAAACACTCCATGTCTTCCTTCTAACCTTGACTTTCTTACTTTATTTTTTGTCCTATCCTGCATCATCCTCATCATCTCTGACACACTTGATCCCATTGCAGCTGTCGTGGTATTAACCCGTCATGTTGAAGGTCTTCCTCTCTTTCACTGACCCTCCTCTTTTCCTAGCATGATGTCCCTTTCCAAGGAACAGCCTCCCCTAGCAACATGTCCAAAGCATGAGAGACAATGCTTCACCATCTTGCCTTCAAGGAGCACTCTGGCTATACTTTTTTCCAAATAATAGGTTAATTTAACTAGTGGAAAAAAGTTTTCTTAATTATTAAACTGTTTTAGGATTTACCTATATGAAAATGGATTGACAGCTTGAAATATTAGATAGAAACTGTAGAGGATAGTGAGTTTACATTAATGTTGTTGTGTGCATCCATGGCTGACCTTCCAGTGGGAGGATAGGATGGAATAGTAGAGACTTGCAAGGATGGTGAGAATGGTTTTACAAGTCAGAGAATGCAATCAATGTCATAGAAATAGGTATGAATCAGCTATTAAATTGGCATATGTTTTGTCACATACATTATTAATAACAACAAAAGAAATGATTAAAATATGTTTACTATATAAGAATGGTGAAGTCCAGAGTCTTAGAGTAGAAGAAAAATGAAAACCAGGAACTACAAATATGTAAACATTCCTTAAAATTTATTGGGCAGGTGGCTAGAGTTCCTGCAGGCATTCAGCACAGATGTCATAGTACTATAATTTAACGAGGAGAAAGGAAAACGCCCAACACTGGAGAACATGAATCTACCCAGAAACGTATTCACATAAATGATGCTTCAAATATATAGGTGAATAGAGGGGACAAAGGAGAGTAAAATGAATATGTTGTGTATGATGAAACTCTAACTAAAATTTGTTTTTTAAGAAAGAAAGATAATTTATTGGCAGATGTGATTACAAAGAATAATAGAGCATCTAACACAGCTGGAACCAAGAAATGAAATAATAGCATTATTCACACTGTCATTCCTCTCTGCTCTGATCTTTTCCTCAGTTAGGCTTTCTCCATACATCGGCAGAGATTAACTTCAGGCTTACCGCCTGCTAGTTTAACAACACTGAGTATAAAGGATGTCCTTCTTCCAATACCGAGGCCACACTCTTGGTATTAGATTTGTTTCGCTTGACTTGGGTGACAGGTAACCTTGAATGAATCACTATGGCTGGGTTGTTTTGTTTGTTTGTTTTCTTATATTGACTAGATCTTTGTTTCATGATTAACACTATTTCAAGACTGCTGAATCACTTCTACTCACAAAACATGAAATGCAAAGAAAAGAATCTGTGAAACATAAAATATTCAGAGAGGCTTACATGGATATTCTGTATTTAAAAGCATAGATGTTTCACATTTGGTTTTAAAAGTGAACAAGTTCCTTTGACACTGGGTTCCGTAACATTTCTTCATGCAAAAAACCTGATTTTGTCTCTCATTGAAAAGATCATATGCCTGAAGGCCTTTCATATTTTCTGTAAGTGAAGGTGTTTGCTCAGAATGTTCTTCACAGCTTCTTTCACTTCCTTATTCCTCAGGCTATAAATGATTGGGTTCATCATTGGGGTCACTACTCCATAAAACAACACAATGATCTCATCAGATGTCTTTGTGTCTTTTGACTTGGGCTTCATGTACATAAAAAGGGCTGAACCATAGAATAAGATGACAACAGTCAGGTGAGCAGAACAGGTCGAAAAGGCTTTCTTTCTTCCTTCAGCAGAATTAATCCTCAGTATGGAAGAGAGAATAAAGACGTAGGAGATGAAAATTAACAGCAGAGGAAGCATCAACAAAACAATGCTTCCCACTGTCATGACAAGTACATTGATGGTGATATCTGAACAGACAAGTTTAAGTAGTGCCAGGATTTCGCAGGTAAGATGATCAATGACATTATTCCCACAGAAAGGCAACACCATTGCTAGCACTGTTTGCAGTAAGGAGAACAGACAGCCTATGATCCAAGACCAAGCAGCCATGTGCACACAGAGTGTCCTGTTCATGATGATGGGGTATCTCAGAGGGTTGCAGATGGCTATATACCTGTCATAGGCCATCATAGCGAGGAGGACACATTCAGTGCAGCCCAAACCGAGGGAGATAACCATCTGCAGTGCACAGCCAATGAAAGAGATAGATTTCCTCTCAGACATAAATGTGATGAGCATTGAAGGGATGAATGATGAGGTGTAACAGATGTCCAAGAATGAGAGGTTCCCAAGGAAGAAGTACATCGGGGTGTGGAGGCGGGAGTCTAGGATGCTGATAATAATGAGGAAGCTGTTTCCCAGGAGGATTATCAGGTACATGATGAGACAGAGCACAAACAGAGAAAGCTGCAGTTCTGGGTATCGGGAAAGCCCCATCAGAAAGAATTCAGTTACAATGGAGTGATTTCCCATTGCCTGTGACCAGGTTACCTGCAGGTTTTAGAAGAGGACAGGATAAATTTATAATTTTATTGGGGATTTTACAATATTTTCATTATTATTATTTTAGTTTTTAGGACAGCCTCTGGAAACCAGAAGGGCAGGAATATTATATTTTACAAACAATAAATCATTGAGCTATGGCGGCCTAGTGGTAAGAAGCTGAGCTGCAATCTTATGACATGCTGTTCAAATCCACGAGCTGCTCTTCAGGGGAAGATGGACAGCCTACTTCTGTGTGATTAAACTGCCTCTGAAAACCCATGGGAGAGCCAGCTATGAGTTGGATCCAACTCAACAACACACAACAACAACAACAATGAATCAGAGACAGTGAGGCATCAATTCTACTCAGGTTTACAGCAACAGAGGTTGGTAACTGGATTAGGAACTGCCAGGTTTCTAAATATAAGTTAGGGACAAACTACTTTAAAATATAGCAATACCAGCATCTCTTTATTAATACACTCTTTGATATGAAAACTACATTTTGATAAAACTGACTGTAAGTTAAAATGTAGTGTAGTTTCAGTACCGTGACATTTAACTTGTGTATGAATGTGTTATGCACCTTTTCTACATCTCAACAAATTCTTTGTAAACTGGAAGGAAACCAACAACTCTGATAGTTTGCTGTGAGAATTATATTTAATAAAATCTGTCATATGCCTGACATGCAAGGTACAACATAGCACCTCTAATGCATATAAGTTGTTTTTAGGTGTCATTGACTCGTTACTAACACAGGCAATCCTATGAACAACAGATTGAAACCTGCCCTACCCTGCACGATCCTCACAATATCTGCCATGCTCAAGCCTATTGTGATCGTTGTGTCAATCCATCTTCTTTAGGGTCTTCTTTTCCTTTGACCCTCTGCTTTTGCAAACATGCTGTCTTTCTCCAAACACTGGCCCCTTCTGACTCTGTGCCCAAAGTATATGAGAGAAGTTTCACCATGATTACCTCTAAGCAGCACTGCAGTTTCACTTCCTCCACATCAGATTTGTTTGTTCTTTTGGCTGTACCCAAAGAATATATTCAATATCCTTCACCAACAACACAATTCAAAGACACAGACGCCTTTGATACTGTATTTCCTCCAATGCAACACATCTTTTACATTATCCATGTATAATGCAATATATTACTAATGCAGAATATATAGGAAAATAGTATCAAGTACCTGTTTATTTTTTTTTAGAGAGCTCTGGTAGCCTACAAGTAAGGAGCTGTGCTGCCATCCTAAAGGCTTATAATTTGAGTCCACCAGTTGCTACACAGGAAAAAAGATGGGCAGTCTCTTCCTATGTAATATACTGTGTCTGAAAACCCACTGGAGACTCTGAACCCATGCGTCAGTTCTGACTTGACAGTGTATAACAACAACATATATTATTTTTTTTTTTTCACTCTATTGGACCTCTAAGGCTGTGAATCTTAATGGGAGGAGTTTGGTCATCTTTCTTCCTTGGAGTAACTGGTGAATTTGAACTGTTGGAGATATTTTTTTTTAGTTAGTATTGGAACATGTTACAGACTATTACACGAGAGCTCCTAGTTTTGAATTTGGGCATAAATACACATAACAAGATAATATTTGGTATTATCGGGACATATTTACATAATATAGAAATATGTAACAGTAGT